ATAAAATTTATGTATTAATACATATAATAATATAAATATAAAAATATATAAAAGAAATTATAATCTGTTCATGAGAAAAGGATTAATTTTACTCAAAAGTCAGGATTATACATGCTTATTACATGCCTTGTATAACTTGAGATACTTAAATTTTTTTAAATAATCCAATCTCTCTTTTTTATTTCAAATTAATGAAAATTTGATGAAAATTTTTTAGACTTTTTAAAAGCAAAATTTTAGCAATTTACACAAACATTTTCACATATCGACAAAAAATTTTCTTTTTTTTTTAAATTGGACAATGTATAAATATCAAATAATAAAAAGTAAAAAATGTGTAACTTATAGATATACCAGTGTTCAATTCATATTTCAATTCATAGTCACTTCAAATTTAAAAATCTTTATATAAAAAATTATAAGAAAATATTCTATTTAGGAAGAGATTTTGGTTATTATCATCGTACCTTTGCCGAGAACACACAATGACATAATATTAGCAGAATAATATTTTTCATAAAATTCAAGAAGTTTATCTCGAACATTGATGCCCCTTTGTTTCGGTATTATGTCTAATGTTTCTCTATTGCCTGTATTGAATTTTGAAAACGCATGATCGGGACACGCAGACGACTTGTTTAATTGATCAAATCGCCAATCATCATCTGCTAAATGTTGTTCATGTTCTGAATTTACAGCATTCAACTCGCGTTCGATCATGATTTCCGTGAAGAGTGGTGCTAAGAAAAACTGCGCAAAACGATCTAAAGCACCTTCCAACTTCTCAGGTGTTATATCGAACATATAAACAGTGTGATCAGTATCTGTGTAAGCATCGGTATTGCCGCCATTTTGCGACAAGTACGTTTCGTGATCATTCTGTTGAGGATATTTCTCTGTTCCCAAGAACAACATATGTTCGCAGAAGTGCGCTAATCCAGGCAGATCATCTGGATCGCACATGTAACCTGTAACACATTTCATTTCTAATTAATTGATCATGAGAGCGATAATGTGATAATCATTGATAACAATATGTAAATTTTTTATTAATGTCGAATAGAATCTATTTAATACAACTTATAAAGAATATGAAAACATAAAACATCTCAAAACATTGAATACAGAAATCAAAAATATAAAATTTTTATGTAAAATAAAATTAATATATTAAAGGATATAAAATATATAAGACCGATATAAAAAGTTTTTTTTATGATTTTCATTATGCTATATATAATAGATAGAATAATTTTAAAGTTTTCCTATGGGAATTCCTACATATATCATAGATGCATAATGATATAATTACCAATGTTAACATTCATTGCAGCAGCACTTTTATCAGTTGTTGAATCGCTGATTAAAAGTACTTTCATTTTATTAGCGAGTACTAAACCCCTGTATAATCGGTCGTCATTTTGTGATTTTATTATATCATCACATCGTTTTTCCACACGTTTAATCGACATATTGGTCATTGAAGTTTTGGATTCAGAAACTTTATTTCTAAATGATAAAAATAATCCACTTTAAAATAAGTATAATGCACGGTTTTATTAGTATATTATTATATAGTCAATTATGCTTCTTTGTTAGCTGTCACGAACATAGTTTTGACAGTTTATGATAAAAGATTAATGATGTAACAGTATTATAATATAATTTTTGTTTCTTCTATTTAAAAAGATAAATAGAGCTGTAGTGTTTAATCCTAAATTAATGTTAAAAATAAAACTAGCAAACTAAAAAATAATAAAATAATAGATGTAAAATAAACACATCAAATTATATTTTATACAATAATATTTTATTATTTTTTACGCGTTTATTTTTATTTGCAATATTTTAACTTTTATCTAGAATATGATATGATAATTTTATATCACGATACTAAGAATGACTCAATCTGATATTAACACATTTGTTATGTATTATTATTGTTTTTAATTTTAAATAAAAATGATTACTCACTAGAACGGTGTTTCAGCTTTCAGCATCCCTAACTTTTGAATTTTCTTATAAAAATAAATAGATAATTATATAAATAATGAATTTATTTTCTTTAAATATTCTTAACTAGTAAAATAAATATAAAAATATAGAATGCTTCGTTTTTCACTTATTTCAACACGAGTATATATTTTAAGATAAATATAAAGAAGAAGGACACATAGATAAAACAAAAGAAAATTTAACTTTACAGCTAATTAATAAAAATAAGAAAAATAATTCTAATAACATTAGAAAATAATAACTGAAAATTATAACTGCAAATGTCTAAATTGTATTAAGATTAAACAACAAAAAGTTATTCAAGCTGAAGTTATATGACAATGATAAATATATTTTAATAATTATTAACGTTTATAAAAATTTATTATTGCCACGCAATTGTTTCGATTTTCAATGTCTTTCATCTTTAATACGAAAATATTAATAAAGACAAATTGAACAAAGATAAGTAAAATAAAATATTCTTGATACATGTCAGATTCATTTAATAAAAAATTTGAGATGTCTTACAGTTAGCCAAAGTATAAAATATATAGATGAAAAGAGAGTCACTTTATTTTAATCCGGTGAATTCGGTGAATAAATTCGGTTGTCAGGTGCACTAAATCCAGTTATGCGAATGATAACGTGTTGACGAAAGTGACGTGTCTGAAGAGAAACGTAGTTACACGAGAGACAAACTCTGCGAATATGCGACACGAGATTTTAATACTCATCTCGTGTGGAAGGTGAACTTGCAAAGTCGAATAAAGAAACACGAAAAAACTGTTTGTACATATATATGATTATATCGACGAGTAGCGATCGACAGCAGGTTGTGTCAGTTCTTGCCTTCCCTTCGCTTGCAAATAATTTTGTGTTTCAAAATTTTAATTCGAACAGTGTAACACTGTTGAAAAGCAGAGGGGTTGGGCTGCATAAAAACTTTAATAAAGTTTTAAATTTTCAAATTTCCTTTTTTTATTTCTTAACGTTTTTCATAGATTTTTCTCTAAAGTAAATTTTAAATAAGAGAAAATATATAAACAACTCATATGTATATGTATACACAACGTATATGTGAAACAAATAAAAACAAATTAAGCTAATAGATGAGCAAAAAGTATCGTTGAAATAATAAAAATATTTTAAATAAATTAGAATATTAAATATTAAAATAAATCAGAATAATATGTCATCTACATACTTTCTTAGATTAGACAAATGGACTACTAATTGGATTAATATAAAGTTTGAATTTTCTATTTCATTTCTATTTAATTAATTAAATTAATTAATTGTACATCATAACTATGAATTATATGTCCCTAGTAATATATTTTTGTGAATCTTATTTAATTATATATATAGTAGCGTTTCATTTCATATATATTGTATTTAATTTTCTCTGGTCTTTAGACAATATCTACATATTAATAAATTTTATTTTATCTTGTTGAAAAGAACGCGCTATAGTCGAAACGTTCAAATATTTAAATTTCATTTGTTATTTGATATATTATTCCGACTCGTTTTAATAAATGTTTTTATTTCAATCATTAACTATTTGTTTTTGTTTATTTATTGACTTTATTTGTATTGTTTGTATTGTTTCATACATTAGCAGTATAAATAATATAAAATTAAAATATAATAATATAAAATTATTAATATTTTCCAGAAATAAAAATGCTAAAATTATGGCAAGCATTACCATCAATATAGATTTTTAACTTGGATATTGATTTTTTGTTAATGTGAGAATAACAATTTACATAACTGATATAATTGATTAGTAATCAAGCATATAATTATGCAATAGATTCAAATTTGTTTCATACTTATTTTATACATATAACCGTCTTTAACAAATATTTAATCATAAAAGCATTAATGTTTTATAGTTATACTTTGTCTGCAAATTAAGGAGAACATTATTAAAAATATAATTTGCACGTTCCATAAACTGCTTTTTAGTGCTACATATCTTTTAAATAATATTGTCAAAATATTATACATACTATTTAAAAGATATGAAAGAAATAGGAGAAAAAAAATAATATTTAAAATGCACACTATATTTAATTTATTAAAATTAATAATATAAGTTCTACATCAAATTGTACTTAATTCGTC